GCCCTCAGGCCGAGTTTATTCTTCATACTCTAAGTTGCACCCCTCAGGCCTAGTTTATTCTTCATACTCTACAGCAGCGGCCCTCAGGCCGAGTTTATTCTTCATACTCTAAGTTGCACCCCTCAGGCCTAGTTTATTCTTCATACTCTACAGCAGCGGCCCTCAGGCTGAGTTTATTCTTCATACTATATAGCAGCAGCCCTTAGGTCTAGTTTATTCTTCATACTCTACAGCAGCGGCCCTCAGGCCTAGTTTATTCTTCATACTATACAGCAGCGGCCCTCAAGCCTAGTTTATTCTTCATACTATACAGCAGCAGCCCTCAGGCCTAGTTTATTCTTCATACTCTACAGTGGCATTCCTCAGACCTAGTTTATTCTCGATACTCTAGCGGCAGTCCTCAGGCCTTGTTTATTCTTGATGTTCTACAGCAGCGGTCCCCAACCTTTTTGGCATCAGGGACCAGGTTCATGGAAGGTAATTTTTCCATGGAGAGTGGGAAGAGGAGGGCAGGGAGAGGGATGGTTTGGGATGATTCAAGAACATTACATCTCCACCTCAGATAATCAGACATTAGATTGTCATCAGGAGCACAACCTATATTTGCTGACAGGTACATTTTACAGTAAGGCAGTGGTTCTCTACCTGTGTGTCATGACCCCTTTGGGGGTTGAACGACCCTTTCCCTTTTCACAAAGTTCACCTAAGACCATCGGAAAACACATATTTGTGATGGTCTTAGAAACCAAGACACCACTCCTCATGTATGGGGGTCATTAAAGGGTCACAGCCTTAGGAAGGTTGACAACCCCTGCGGTAGGGTTCGCACTCCTATGAGAATCTAATGTTAGCACTCATCTGACAGGAAGTGGGGCTCAGGCAGATGCGAGTGATGGAGAGAAGTTTTAGATACAGGTGAGCTTTGTTCACTCTCCTGGTGTTCACCTCCTGTTGTTCAGCCCAGTTCCCAACAGGCCGCAGACTGATAGTGTTCCAGGGCTCAGGGTTTGGGGACTTCAAGAGACAATCCATCTTGCTTTCTCCAGCTTCTAGAGGCCACGTACATGCCCTGGCTCACGGCTCCTTCCTCCATCATCAAAGGCATCCATGTAGCATCATCTCTCTGACCTCTGCTTCTGGCTTTATATCTTCTCTATCTCCTGACCCTCCTGCCTCACTGTTACAAAGACCCTGTGGCTACATTCAAGACCCTTTAGTTACCTTCAGGATAATCCAGTAAGATCTCCCCATCTCAAGACCCTCGACTTAATCACATCTGCAAACTCCTTCTTACCACATCAGGGAGCAATATTTCCAGGTCTGGGGATTAGGATGTGGACACCTTTGGGGACCGTTATCCAGCCTCCCACATTATCTTACACAGAGAAAGAGACTCAGTGTGATGGTTTATTTTGGGTGTCAACTTGGCTGAACTAGGGGATGCCTAGACAGTCAGGGAAGCATTGTTTCTGGGTATGTCTGTGAGGATATTTCCAGAGAAGGTGGATGTGTGAGTCAGTGAGCTGAGAGAAGACAACTCACCCTCAGTGTGGGTGGCTGCCATCTAACTTGCTTGAGGCCCAGCTTAGAAAAGCGGGCAAAGGAAGGGCTATTTCCTCTCTGCTTCCTCTCCCCCTTCTGGAGTGGAGGCTTCTTCCTTCTCCTACCCTTGGACATAGACTCTAGGTTTTTTGGCTTTCGAGATTCTGAGACTGGCGCCAATAGCCTCCAGGGGGCTCTCAGGACCAACTGAGGGTGTGATGCCAGCTTCCCTGGCTCTGATGCTCTGGACTTGGACTGAGCCACACTTCTGGATTTGAGCCACATGACTGGCTTCTCCTGCTCTCCAGCTTGCCGTTGGCCTATTGTGGGACCTCTCTGACTCTGTGATCATGTGAGCCAATTTCCCCTAATAAATCCCTTTCCACATATTCTACTTGTCTGTCTCTCTGGAGAACCCTGACTAATGTACTCAGGAATTAAGCATCTTGTCCAGTCATGGGTGGGTACTGAACTCACTGCTGTCTGATGCCAATGGCCGCACCCCTGCATCCTGCAATCCAGGCATCAATGACCTTTCACAGGGAGGCCCAGGGTACTGGGGAAATCAGCCAGTACACTGGCAACCATTCTCATGCTCTGAATGCTCTCGGCTCGTGCCCTTTGAAGCTGCGTCACTATTGATTTTTGCCTCCCTCTCTGAACTTTGGTTTCTAGCCCTTCCCTCCCAACATGTTGGCTCCTTGGGCTTCCAAGTGTGACTCTTGCTGTAGCCCACACCTTTGTGCCTACGTCCCAGGTGAAGTACACTTGCTGATTTCTGGCCCTGCCCCATCCTCCTCCTCCTCATCTTAACAACTGCCACCAATGTCCCATCTTTAGCTCTTCAGCCCCTGGCCCAGTGCCATGTACACCATAGGTGATCTATGGGCATTCAAAGAAATACAACCAACATCAAAAGTCTCAGACCACCTGCATCATCACCTGTGGTACCCATGAAAAATGCAGATGCTTGGGTCCCCCCAGAAATCCACCAAATGTCTAAGTGATGCCTCAAAATCTGTATTTCTAAACAAGTTTCATCCTTGCCCCCTAAGGAATGATAATGCCCACTAATGTGTGAGAGCCACAGCTTCCAAATCAATCAACTCACTAACCAATCCCTCCGTGTCCCTGGCACAGAAACCGGGTGGCCTTATGGGAGACACAAAAAGGTGGAACTGTTTTCACACTCTCACCAGATGGACACTCCAGCCCGGAGCTCAGAGCGTTTGCTGGAGCCCCCTTGCTCGGCACTGCAACACCTAAGTCTCTGCAGAGGCTCATTCAGGAACCTAACTCAGTCCCTGCCCTTGGGAGCTCACAGTGTGGTGGAGAAACTCCTCATCCTCACCTGCCAGAGGAGAAGGGAGTTAAGGGCTTGTCCAAGTTTGCAGTGGTGAGTCATGGACTGGTACTTGAGCTCCAGATTCGTCCCACTGGGATGAGAAGGGTGAGGAAGATGCAGGGGGCAGAGTGGAGACCTGGGGTGGGGATGGGACAAAGAGGGAGGAGTGACTCGGGCCATTTGTGGAGGGCTAGAATGCCTGGATAAGAGTTAGCTCCTAACCACAGGAAACAAAGCTCTCACAAAGGGTTGAGGAACAGGGTGATACAATGGAATCAATGATTTAAGAAAATTAATTTGTCAGCAGGATGTTGGGTGGATTTAAAGTGTGTGACATGGGAAAGATGAACTAGGAGGAGAAGGCAGCAGTTGAGAAATGATAAGGACATGGGCTCAGGGCTTGGTAGCAGACTCAGGAGAACACAGGGGACTTAGGGACTCTCAGGAAGTGTGTGCTGCCATCCTCTGCTTCTGCTGGCGTATCATACATGTGGGATAGGAGAGGAACACAAATTGACAGCAATAAGAAAGAGAACACAACAAAATTAGATAGATGATAGAAAATGAATAAGAGTATGTGGGGGAAACTTTAAGTGAAAATAACACAGATGCCATTTACTTCACGCCTGCAGCTACCCTCTCCCTACCTACATCACCTCTTATTCTTAAAAGTGTTGGAGGTAGTTATTATTATCCCCATTTCACAGATGGGGAAACTGAAGCTCAGAGAGCCTAAATGACTTGCCCACATTGCAGAACCCAGATTTAAGCCTCATCAGTCTGGTTAGGAAGCCTGAGTTCTTTTCAGTCTAGGTTTTTGCATCCTTACATTAATAAGGAAAGAGCCTTTATCCTTCATGATTTTCAAATATCCTAAAACCCACCCCTGCCCCAAACTGTGTCCTTTTCAGGCAGCCCTAAGAGGTATGGATGGTACCCTGATCTCTGGCCTCAGTGTCCTAACTCTGGGGCAGATGGCCGAGATCCCAGACCTCTGTCTCTTTGTAACAGTAGCCTCACCTCACTCTTCCTGACTAGAAAATGGGGATGTGGTCAATGTTTTTTCATGTCTTTATTAGGCTGAACCATATGAAATTGGCACTTCTATAGGTCCAGAACAGCTAAGTAATTGCAATGTCATATGGTTCAGCCTGGTATGTGTATGACAATTTTGCACATAAGAAAACTCTGTCCCCAAACTCAGAGATGCTTAGAGTTAGAAGATTGTCTAATCCATCTCCCATCAAAAGATGGACTCTCACTGGAATTACCAAAGAGTTTAGGGGCCAAAATGGGTCTGTACCCTTCTGTTCAATGTGGAGAGGGAAGGCCTGGTGAGCCCAAAAATCTGCAGACACACCAGGCTGTGAGAAATAAATGACATTAGCAAAGGTTTCACCTTATATGCTAGGGAAAGATGAGCTGGCCCACACGTTATTTAAAAGAGGAGAAAACCTTAGCGTGTGCAAGGTATGGAAGGGATTTAGGGTTACCACTCTCTCTTTTACCCATGTTGGCATACTCTTGATAACCTAAGACATGCATAAAAATGTAAACACAGTATAAACATCCTGACTTGTACAGTACATACACATGCTATCTGCTGCATTATATTTCACTAATTAGGAAATAACGAGTCCCCTTTTCCATATAGGGTAACATATACCGTAGAAAGTAAGGATTAAGTGAATGGATTTATAACATAAAAGCATTTGTTTTAAATCTCTTCAGCAGTAAATTTGAAAAATGATTTTAGCACATTCTCACATGAAGAGGTGTTAATTGTTTGAAATGAGTCTTACCAGTTAAATAAAGAGCTCTACTCAACCGCAATGTGTTAATTCTAATTTATTCCATTGAGCCCCAACCACACGTCAGTGATGGGTCCTGGGAATACAGAGCCCAGACAAGTGATGGGGACTTGCCCCTCCCCCCCAGGAGCTCATATTCTGGTAGGGACTTGGGGTCACACAAGGACCAGTGACAGATTCTGTTTGGCTGTAGTAGGGAGCGGGGAAGTTGATAAGAACTCATCAAGAGCTTACAGAAACAGCCCTGTGTGTCCATCCAGGGCTCAGAGGCACACAGCCAGGACTCAGGGTACATGCAGGAGAATGATGAAAAACCAGAGCCTGGCTCAGACTCCAGCAAAAAAATTTTAAATTAAATACAAGAGGCTGGCCCTGAAGGCGGCTCCTGGGCAGGGTTTGAAGTGGAACTACAGGGTCCGTTGGAATTTGAGAACAAAAGCATGACCTCAGGGGGAGGGTGGGTGGGAAGAGCAAGGTAGGGGGGCTGGGAGAGGGGGACAAAATTGAAAAAAAGCCAGTGAGAGGTACCAAGGGGAGATAGGGGCATGGTCACAGAGCAGAGAGAGGGAAGATCTTCAGAGGACAAGGAGGTAGTATGATCTGCCAGATGTGGGGGAAAGGGGGACACAGGATGGGCCTGGGTTTCTAGTTTTGGAACCAATGAGTAGGACAGGGCTGCAGAGCCATGTCCATGGACTGCAGAGAATTGAGCTAGAGACCAGGATTCAGGAGGTGTCTGTTTCAGGCAGGAGAAGTCACAGGGAAGTGAATGAGGTCATCCTGTTAGGGGAAGAAAGTCCCGGCAGGGGAAGGAATTCAAGGAAAAACTCAGGGAAATCCAATAGTTTAAAAGTGATAAAGGAAAGAGGATTCCACACAGGGATAGAGGAAGACAGATGGAGGAGGGCCCACCAGAGAGTCCAGAAGAAGGCATTCCAGAAAGAGGACAGGAGAGTTTCCAGGAGGAGGAGCTGGGGACAGGTCACCTGCAGCAGTCACATTAAGTGAGACAGGACCAGGTGGAAACACAGATTCAGTTAGGCCATGAGTGGCCTTGGCAGGGAGTCTGGGAGAATGAGGAGGCTGGGGAAGGATGTCAGAGGTCTGTGGAGAGAATGGAGGCAAGGACTCCAGGACATGGGTGAGGACCACTCTTGCTTAAGTGGGAGAAACTTACACTTGTTTGTCTGCTGGAGGAAGCTGCCAGGGGAGGGAGCAGGATGAAGACATAACCAGATAGCGGTAAGTAGATGTCAAGGTCCTTGATAAAATGAGAAGAGGGTGGTGGGAAGAGAGGGACCCAAAGCAAAGTTTTCAAAACAAGGTTGTGCATCAGAATTCTCAAACTGCAGATCCCAAGACCCCACCTCCAGACAACCAAAGAGATGGGCTCAGGAATTGCATGTTTCAAAAAATAAAACAGACATTTCCCCAGCTGATACTATTGACAGCCAGGTTGGAAGATCCTGGCTGTGACAGGTGGGGAATCAGCCTCACAGATACAGAGCCTCTGAGGATCACACAGCCTAGTCAGACACTCATCCACAATTCTGGCCTTGCACTCCACCCAGCATCTTCCCCCACATGGTTCGGGGCATAATCAGAGAGACTGTCCTCCATGGCAAAGGTAAAGAAATGGGACCCTTGCCATGCCAAGGCCCAGCCAACACCAACTGGCAGGAGGCCGGGTGATAACCTGTATTGTCAACCCCCGACACCAGTGTGTTGTTAGACACCTGGAACTTAGGCATAGATGTGCTTTGCACATGCCCCACCATGATCCAGAATAGAAATACAGGCAGGAGAGGCTGAGGAAGCCCACCCTCAGGGAGTTCCAGCACAGACAGGCACCAAGCCAAGCTGGGCTTTGCAACCACAGCCCTTCTGAGGTCTCAGGGCCCACAGCTTCCTCAAGGAGCTCAGGGCTCACAGCCTGAGACAAGGCAGTGGGGAGAGGAAAGGGTCCCTCCACTTCTAACCTAGAAATCCTCACAGGGCTTTTTCTCTGGACCTGCCCTCTAATGAGAGAGAGTTCCTGGAGTTTGGCCCCCACTTCCCCACCCTGCTTCTGTCAGGCAAGAGAAGAGAATCAGCCAGAGTGGGCTAGTGCAGCCTCCCATCAGGAGAGGGGGGCAGTTCTGTTCCTACATGATGAAGCCTGTGTTCTCCATAGGTTCAGCTTTTCACATGACTCACGTGGGAGCTTTGGAAGGTGCTGGGTTTGGAGAGGGGACCTCCGGAGTCTTGGAACTCAGAGGAAAAAGGGCAGAGGTGTTTTCTGAAGCAGCTGCTTCTAATAAAATGTTCTCCTGGGACCTAGGCCAGTAAGTGAAGCCTGATCACAGATGTCACCTGCAGCTGGCTCTGCAGTTATTAAGATGTCCCACTTGATCCAGGACTTAACACCTGTACATCCCCCCACACGCACACTCCTCCAGGAAGGATTGGTTGCATGCAGCCTTCTTTCATGCACTCCCTTGGATGTGAGCTTTTAGGGACAGAAAGAAAATGTGTGACCAATTTGGAAGGACAAGCCACACCTAAGAAATAGGTCCCACTGCCAAGGGCCACCAAGTTCAGGGTAAGAATGAGATAAATGGGAGATCACACTTAGGTTCAAAATCAACCCTAAGAAACTTTTATTTTCAAACCTTGGGGGCATAAGAAGCAATGGAGATTGTGATTAAAATACACCTTTCTGGGCCCTCCCAACTCCGAGATTCTAATTCAGTAGATCCAGACATCATTCAATGATTTCAACCAGAAACGGAAAAGGAGAAATCTGACTACAAGTTCACAATTCTTCTGGACAAAAGTCCCAGGGACACAGAAGAGTGTAACCTTGAAAGTCAACAGCATCTATGTGGCTGTGGCCTATGTAAGCCAGAGTAGTCTGCAGAAAACAAGGCCAGTGTCCTCAGGGGTTCAGCATGCTTCAACACCCTTGAGTTCTGTTTTTGCAAGAAATGGGGCAGAAGATTTTGGATATCATGTGCTCACATGTGCTGGGGAAAGGCACTGTCATCCTTTCAGCTCATTCACTCCAGAACAGCATGTGAGGGAGAGGAAGGTCTGAAATGAAGGATGCACCAACCTAGGGTTTGAGACTGAGGTCTGGAGGGGCTGTGTCCTCCCCTAGAGCTACACTAAGTCATTCACCTGAAAAGTCAAATGGCCCTAACACTGGGGTCTGTAGCTTCTTGTCCTGGCCAGCGAGGAATTTGCAAGAACATGAACTATAAAACCAAGAACAGCACAGGGCAAAATATGAACAGTTCTGATATTTTTGTCATCATGACCCCTCTCAAACTTCAGAAAAAATATGCCAGTGCCTTTGATCTTAAGTCCTCAACCAATGGTAAAAATGGTCTGTGAGTGGTTTTCAACATTCCAGAAAGCATAGATACCCTAGGGAGGTCACCCCCCTGTCGTAATGCTGAACTTATCAGCGTTTGGTTGGAATCCCATCAGTGAGGTAACTGGGGCTCCTCTCCAGCTCTCAGCAGCTTCTATTAGCCAATAATTCAACTTTGATCCACTAGAGATGGGAAAGTGAATTGAATATGACTTAAATCTTGGTAAGCATGGGCTTCATGGAACAAAAGCAAGGAAGGGTGGACAGGTGGGTCTTCTGTCTCCCAAGCAAAGAGACGGTGTCTGGCATCCTAAACCACTCCACCCTTACCCCATCTGCTACCCCATCCCAGGACCCCCCTTCCCTGTCCTCTTCTCTCTTCCTCTCCCCAGTCAGAAGCTTTGCTCAGCACAAACACTCTTCATTCTTTCCAGGGTCATGAGCAAATGTGAGGGGCTGCTTGGGGATGCAAGAATTGAGGAGCTTGGGGGAAGGCAGGACGGTGGAGGTCTTCAGACAGACAAGGAGTGTACAGGTGAGACTCTGGTAGGTCACAGTCTTCAACTGTATTGTAGCCACAAGGGTAGGGGCTGTAGTTGGTAAGGCATGTACCTTTGGTTTCCAACTGAAAAGGCTCCACAGCACAAAGGAAGGAAGGAAGACAAATCCTGTGTTCCCTGGGGGCTAATGTGAATCTGGGCCCTTCCTTCTGATAACAGAGAAAATGAGCCTGCTCCCTCCTCTGCCCTTCTCCGAGCCTCCACAGTGACATCAGGTTGATTGCCCCTCTGGAGGGGAGGTGGACTGGAGCTGCTAATTAATCTGGATGGCACTGGGCATTGCATCAGCCTCCATATGCTAGCTAGCAACCTGCCCTGCCCTCCCACATCTCTGATGTGCTCCCTTCCTGGAAGACAGAGGGGCTGGTGTATCTGCAGAACAGAACTGGGCACACTGGGTCTCTCCAGGGGTCTCTCAGGATGTGAAGCCTGAACAGAAATTTAACCACTTGGGGTTTCTCAGGTCCCTGGCTCTATGCCTTCCCAGGACAGATTCTGGCTTTAAATGCCACAGGGTGACCTAAGGAGAAAGAGACAGGGCAAGGAAGGCTGGCTGTGTAATGACCACATGGAGGCCCTTGAGGATCCACTTTGTCCTTCCAGCTGGTAGGTGTTCAGGGCAGCCAGCCAGGCGGAGAGATGACTAAGAGCAACCGTGGCAAAATTTGTTAGAAAGGATGACACGGTATCCATTGGTTTAGACTTTGCCACCTGACAAGATGACATTTCCATGGATGGGTAGACACAGAAATTAAAAACAGAGAGGGGTTCTGTCCAAGACTGTAG